CCACATTAGCCACCCCTCGCTCCCCCCCCCCCCCCCCGAAATCAGGCCAGATTGTACCAAGTACCCAGCATGGCCCTATATGACGCCTCCCTCCCAGCTCTGGTTTCTTGTGAGAATCTTTTGGGAAGAGACTACTCAATGAGAATGACTTACCTGGCCAAGACCATCTACTATTGGGCATAGTCATATGAAACAATTATTCCTCATACTTGCACAAGTTACTTGACCCCACTGTATTCTTCTGTCTTAGAAACAAAAACAAATGGGAAAAGGCGCAGAATTGTTAATAAATAAATGAAAATGAGTAGCCACGTAACAAGAAGTTGCTGCAATAAAGCTTCTGCTCCAAAAATTAACACTTCCAAAGATAAAAATGTGAAATGTAAAGAGGCGTACCAAGGGTTTCATATGAGAGAAACCCCAGTGCAGGAAAAGACCTTCTGCATATCTTGCAGCCCAGGTCTGAGCGGGACCAGACTACCTCTTGCAAAGTGGGTGATGAGTCCCAAAGTTAACATCCAGAGCAAGACGAATCACAAGACCCAAGAACTTCCACAACACAGTTACATGGTAAAAAACTGCAAAACACAGATCCAAGTCCCCAAAGAGCAGGAGTAGATGACAGAATTATGGTTTTTATATTCACCTTTTTCTTCATTTTTACATTTTTGAAAATAGCATGGACTCTCCACGTTTTTGCAAACATTGCTCCAAATGCAGTTGTGTAGCCCACCGTAAGTATCCATGTCCGGACCTGAAACAAAGAAGAAATTCAGCTTATATCTTGACCCAATGACAAGCAAGATGTAAGCTATGTGCTTAGGTTCGCCTAAGGAAATAAGCTAATTCCTTCTTACATCAACTTTCATGTTGCCTGTCTTCAAGAACCAGGCCCCGGAGTCCTAAAATTTATGAGAAAAATCAAGCATCACTTAAGACAAGTCTATGGCTTCCAAAATTGTTGAAAAAGGCTAAAAACTTGAACCAGCTATAAACTGGACTGTCACAAAGCATAAAGGGAAATAATGGATGTACATGCATTTCTCCACAGTTATTTATTATTGGGTTGCAATTCAGTAACAGTAAGTCTCTCTAAAATGACAGGTCTGAAGTGAAAAGTTAAATTCTTAAGTATTACTGATTTCGACTGGATTTGAAAAAGAAAAGTCTTTGAGAAAATAAAATAAAGCAGAGGTAAAGAATCAACATCTATCTGTATGTCTAGCAACCATCAATCAATCAATCAATCAATCAATCAATGATTGATTGATTGATTGTCTAGCAACCATGTGCGAAGGGACATGCAGAGCAAAAAATACACACAACGGAGCCACCTAGGACTTCTAAAAACCTGGTGGAAACTCCAGGTATGCAGAAAATCTAATTTTGGCAGCCAAGAAGACTGAGGAATTTCACATTACCCTTTTTAACCCGTTTTGAAGCCGTTTTTGATCTGTTGTGGAGTAAACCGGTATAGGGGTGCCATTTCACACGTGGCTTTCCCTTTTCGGTAAAGAGCTGGATCTGAAGCGGTTTGCCATTTCAGACTGCTCGGCTTTCCCCCCGCCCTTTTTCACCCGCAAGGGCGATCTCCGGCTTTTTTGGGGGGGGAAGTTTGCTTTATAGTGCTATAGCACTATAACAAAACACCCCAGGCATTCCAATGGCGTTGATATACTGCTGTTACGTTATAGCGCTATAGCGCTATAATGCTATAAACCGAACACTCCCCCCCCCAAAAAAAGCCGAAGATCACCTGCGTGGGTGAAAAACAGCGGGAAAAAGCACATCGGAACCAGGAGAGGAAACTGAAAACTACTTGGAAGCGGTTGACAGGTAAAACGCTTCAGCCCCGTTTCCTAAAATTCCTCACTGTGAGACCTGATAGTATCTCAGCCACCGTTTTGTGTTGTCCCGGGAGGATCCGTGCCAAGACCTGCGCCTCAAGCACACTCTGTGTGTGGAGGGCAAGCTGCAGGAAGGCCACCCGGTGCCCAGGGCTGAGGCAAGGGCAATAAACTGTCCTGGGGGTCCGCTGCCACACCTGGAGAGCTCCAAACATGCTAAAAAATACAGACCATGGAACAAGCACTAAAGAAGGAAAAAGCAATGGCAGGAATACAAAGCAACTGGGAAAAAATGTATGCCTTTTTCGTCCCAGCAGCTCTGAATGTGGGGCAGAGTGTTCAGTTGGCAATGTTGATGATGTGTGTAGTGTATTCCAAAGCTGCCATGGAATGCATGATGTATGTGAAACATCTCATTGACTTGTAATGTTAAGCTTCATCCTGGGCTAGGATCCAAATACATCCAACAGTATTGCTAGCCCAGAAAGTAACAAGCCAATCACTTCGCAGCAAGCTCCCTGAGCGGGAACGGCCGTGATTGGTCCTTATGTGAACAACCTTATTGGTTGGTATGTGTACCAACTACATTAGCCGGGAATGTTTAAAAGCAGGGCAACTGCAATGTAAACGCTGAACCGTGTTGTTCTGGCTATCATATGTTGATCCGTGTTGGAGTTGTGTTCGAGCTGAAGAATAAAGCTGTGTTCTTGCTGAATCACTCTCCGACAGCTTTGTTAAGTGAGCGACTTAACAATGTGCTTTATAGAAATTGTCCATCATTAGCATTTATGCCGCAGTTTTTGTGCTCCATTTGTGCTCAGGCACATTACCACAGGTAACTCCTTCGTTTCAAGTAGGAAAAAAATCAGCATCTGACAAACATCAGAGATAAATATTGAGATATTTATGTTTAACTCCTAATTGAGATAATGAAAGCAAATGGAACTTGAAAGGAGACAGCTTCGCTGCATAAGCCGACATGCACATCTCTGTATTTTTTGCCTGAATGAGACATTTTTCCTTTCTTTTCCTTTCTGTATTACTCACTGAGACACTTGCACGTCTATTATTTTTCTTTTCTTGTGCCTCTTATCTCATAATTATGAGATTTATTTAAAATGACACATAACAGATAAAAAGTATTTTAAAATTAAGAACAAGGTTGCAAACACAGGCCCAAGCATTGTGACACTTAGCAGAAAGAAACTGCAATTTTGTCTTGCTCCTTTGTGTTAGAAATAATCTGTGAAAACTCACAAGAAAATCTGCCTTGTTGAAAAGATGGCTTTTATTTTACCCAGTTGAGTTTGAGATTGATAATACAGTTACAATCACAATACCATTGGAATAAATTAAACATTTATTCAGTGGAGTTCAGGGTTACAGGCTTTTACTGAACAAGAGAGATCTTCACATGTAAAGTCATCTTCCAAACTCATGGTTGATCAGGACTGCCATAGCTCTGCTGGGGGCAGACAACCCCCCTCTGGTTTTACCATAGAGTTTCTGGAGATTCATACAGACATGATTTCTAGAGAGGACATCATATTGTCATCAACCTCCCCCCCCCCTCAATGCCCTTGCTCCCATGGTCTCAAGCTGGTTGTCTGCCTGGCAACCCAACAGTGATATGGATGAAAACACATCTGTGTATCTCCTGATAATCCGTGCACAGCCGCAAGCCCCCGTCTTTCTTTTTTCGGAACAGCATCGGGGCCGCGAAAGGGGAGGAGGCTGGCCTGATGAAACCCCTTGCTAGGTTCTTATCGATAAACTTACGCAGTTCATCTTTTTCTGCCGGCCCCATCGCATAGATGTGCCCCTTAGGCAATTTGTGACCCAGCAGCAATTCGATACTACAGTCTGAGTGCCTATGGGGGGGAGCTCGTCGGCTTCTTCCTCTTCAAAGACCCCAGCCAAGTCCCGGTATTCAGGGGGAATGGATTGTAATTCCTCTTGGGGCCTTCCTAATGACACCATCAGAAAAACAAAATGATTATATAGCAAATTTATAGATGAATGCATTTTACAGATGCATTACCAGCCTCTACCGCAGGGAGCAGAAAGGAAATGAAATATCAAAAAGGATGCAGTAGCATCAGTAAGCTTTCTGCCTTCCTTCTGAGTCTCTGCAACCTGAAGTGAAGAACAATACAATATAGAATAGTACGAGGAGTGCTGTGAGATCACACCGGATGACATCAGTGGTTCCTTTTATCCCTTTTGGCATTTGACTATGTACACCAGGCATCACAAATTCCACACACCTAAATACTTTAAATGGTCCAATATATTTCCACCCCAGTTTACGGCTGGGTCACAACACTTAAATGTTCTTAGTAGACACATATACTGAATCGATGCAAGAATCCAATCTCTTCTCTTCTTCTTCTTCTTTTAGTTTTAGTTTCCCCGCTGGCTTCTTCGCTGGTGTGCCTGGCCATGCCTTGGCTGGTTCCAATTGCGACGGCTTCCCCGGACTCGATCCCCCGCAGTCGGCCGCGAAATGGCCCCATTCCCCACACTTTAGGCAGTGCCCTTGTTTCATCCGTTGCTCTCTGGTAGACTCAGCCGGGCATACAGATCTCACCTTCAGTTGGGGGGAGGTTCGGCTTCCCCCCCGCCACCACGATGTCTAGGCATAGGGTGTTCAACCGAGTCTCCGCACTCTCCGCTTCTTGCATCCACGCTGGGAAGGAAATTGGGTCGACTGCACGCAGGTCTGTTTCGCGGATCTCTGGGTTTAACCCCACCCTGTACAACTCTGCTAAGACCTGATCTGACCAGTTTTGGACCTTGGCCGCATGCAATTTAAACTCCGACAAGTATTCTCTCACTGACCGCTTCCCTTGCTTCAGGGTGTGTAAGAAGGCCCTTCCTTTGGGCCTGCCATTCTGATCCTCGAACTGGGCACACAACGCCCACATAAAAGCGTCCAAGTTCACTAGCTCCGGGCCCTGCGCGTTGTGCAGTCCCACATACCACGCTGCAGCAGCTCCTTGTAACCGAGCAGCAATAACATCCACTCGGCTGCTGTCCGGGAACAGGTGGCCCCACCTTTCCACGAATTTCATCACTCGAACCACGAAATAGGATAGTTCCTCCGGGTCCCTGTTGAACGTTGCCTCGATCAGGTCCTTCGGGCGGTGGTGCAGGGGACTTCTTGGGCTGCCTGGCCACGGCGCCAGGATCGGTCCTTCCCCTGGTCCCAGCACCGGTACGTCCGGCAGCCCCCGTGGCCTTGGGGCGCCAGTTCCAGGGGTGCCGACTGGGGGGGGGAGGGCAGGAGCCAGCTGCTGTGCCTCCCTCTCGGCTCTTAGGGCTTGCAGCACCATCTCTGGGATCGCCAGGATTACTTCCTCAAGTTCCCATCTTAGTTGGCGTCTGTCCCATTCCACCGCCTCCAGGCAGTGGGCCAATTCCAGTTTCTCATCTGGGAGGCGCGGCTGCTCCCGCCTTGGAACAGCCCC